AGTTTTAGAATTGTTTTTGAATTATGTAAAAAAAAAGAAGTCATGCTGGAGGTTTTGTTCATGTGTGCAATGTGTGTGTTTTGTTCAAAATGTGACAAGGTGTGAAATTTTAACTTTTGGACACCACTTTGTGTGTGTGTGTGTGTGTGTGTGTGTGTGTGTGTGTGTGTGTGTGTGTGTGTGTGTGTGTGTGTGTGTGTGTGACACCTTTGACCCAAATAAGCTGATCTTGTCTTGACATTTTTGAGTTTTAAGGGGCGTGTGTGTGTAGCCTCTGGTTGAGAAGGAAATACACCCCCTCACAAACCTCTGTGCCAACTGTTGTATAACAAAGCAGTTAAACGAAAGGGGCCCTAAACCCAACATTATTTATGCCCGTGTGTGTGTGTGTGTGTGTGATTGCACACAATGAAAAGTGAGAACTGAATGGATGACATTGAGATTTAGATGTGTGCTGAGTATCCGGCAGCACAGATATGTGTCTGTGTGTGTGTGTGTGTGTGTGTGTGTGTGTGTACAGTAGATGTAATTTGGAGGAAAAACTGTCAGCACAAGTTAACTAAATCAGAAAATAAGTAATATGATGTATTAATGCAAAGCTGAAAGTAAAAAAGATTTCTTGAACGGTTTGTGTTAGTTTGAATAATTCTAATGCACTTTTGGTATGTGCTCTGCTCATGTAGATGTGTGTATGTGGATGTGTGTGTGGCTGTGTGTGTAGGGGGCGTGTGTTTATGTAACGGGGTTCGGCTCTATATAAGCTCCTGCAGCGCGACTCTGCGCTCAGAATTCAGCTCTCGAGGCCCAAATTCCCACACACTCCAGACTGAGCTCTGCAGTAGCCATGGCAACCATTGTGCTAGGAGTTTTGCTCTGTGCCCTTGCCGTTAGTTCTGAGGTCACGCCACAGGCCGACTTCGACATCAAGGGGGTAAGACTGCAAGATACATATATATATATATATATATATATATGTATAATTATTTTTTTTTTTTTTGCATTTTTATATTACAAAACCTGTATCAAACATTACATTTATAATTTAGAAATTATCTAAAATTATGGATCTGTTGTTAAAATGTTTTTTTACTTCTAAACTTTAGGTTCTGCAGAAAGTGTATATTTGAGGTACTTTAGTGTCATGGCAGCTACTTCGTTATTTCATGCAAACAACAACAAAACTAAATAGATTATATATATATATATTTCATTTTTTTTATGAGTTTATATTTATTACAAAACTTGTATCAAACATTACGTTTATAATTTAAAAATTATATTTTCTATTTCAGTAGTTCAAAGTTAAAAATGTAGTTAAAATGACACCAAAGTACCCAATTATTTAATGCAAAAATAAATAAATTAAAATATATATTTTTTTAATTGTATGCCTTTTTTATATTATTTATAATATTTTTATATAATTAAAAACCTGGCCATTTTAACTAGATTTTTTTTGCATCAACAGAAAGTGTATATTCTGGGTGCCTATGCCATAGCAGCTACTTGGTTATTTCATGCAAAGACATAAATATAAATATTTAATTTGTTTGCATAAGTTTGTATATTGTAAATTGTTGTATTGTTTTATATTGCAAATTGTATCAAACATTATTAAGAATGTAATTTAGAAATGGACAAAAATGATGGAACTTTGAACTGTAGTTTTTTGTATCTATTTGTATATAATTAAAATATATATTTTTAAACATAATTTTTTAGTTTTGTTGTTTTTAAGTGTATGTTTTGGGTGCTTAGTTTCGTGGCAGCTACCAAACGTTGATGTGTGTCTTTCACACAGGTGGCTGGGAAATGGTACCTGATTGGGTTTGCCACCAATGCCGAGTGGTTTGTCACCCGCAAGGCGAACATGAAGATGGGCATCGCCATGCTGACACCGACTGATGAAGGAGATCTGGAGATGGCATATTCCAGTCTCCGGTAAGAGAATCTGATCACTAAAAAAATAAGAATCTATAAATAAATCCTCCCGTATTTTATGATTTTCCATCCTGTTTTTCCAGTCCTGATGGCTCGTGCTGGAGGATGAACCATCTGGCTCAAAAGAAGGATATTCCAGGGAAATTCAGCTTCCGCAGTGAACGTAAGGAAGATACCATTTATCTAGACATGAAATACAGTAGTGATTTATACAGGATTTAAATGAGAAATGATGTGTTTCCTCAGGCTGGGAGACTGAGAATGACATGCGTGTTGTTGATGTGAAGTATGATGAATATGCTTTGATTCACACCATCAAGACCAAAGCTGACTCCACCACGCTTCTCAACAAACTCTATGGTATGATCTCCACTTTAAAATGTAGCATTTGAATTTTTAACAGTCAAAACAACCCAATAGCTGGGTTTGTCCTGTTTTAACCCAGCGCTGAGTTATACTTAACCCAGAATTTTTTTAGAGTGTATAGACTTATGTATAGGTTAGATGCCATATAGAATTTAACACTGATGAAAACAGGGCTGTGAGGAACAGACTTACCCATACGGCAAAAACAAATCTGGCCTAAATACAGTATATGTTGTAAACAATGACGTTAAATGAAATATACACTCTAAATAATGCTGGGTTGTTTCAACCCAACTTTGGGTCAAATATGGACTAACCTAACCGTTGGGTTAAATTTTTACATTACATTTTTAACCCAAAGTTGGGTTGAAATAACCCCGCATTTTTTAGAGTGTTTGTTTGAAATTTTATATATTTGTGTATATATTCATTTTTATTTGTATTATTATATTTTATATAAACATTATTATATTTCTTGCCCCTGAAATACATTTTAAAATTTTAGTACGTGAGGGTTAAAACTAAATAAATTTTTAAATTTCAAAATATACATTTAATTGAGCTTCACTGTTTAAACATGTATTAAGCTTATATTTAAAACATATTTATGCCAGAACATTTTTATTTTCTTGCTGTATCGTAGCTCAGGTCAATTAAATAATATTAACAGATACAACTTTTGAATGTGTTAGTAAATGTTGAAATTAACATTCGCTAAGATTAATAAATGCTTTAAAATGTTGTATTGTATTTAACTAATATTAACAAATGAACCTTATCGTAAATGTTGCCAACTTTCATTTTCAGCTGATTGAATCGCTCTTAAGTTTCAATCTTTCCTTCTAGTCACCTTATTAAACTTAAAACTCCCAATTTTCTACAATCTAATCAGTTCTTGATGGGTAAAGTGAAGTACCACATTTCTGAAATATGTCATGTTACGAAAGTAAAATAGATTGTGAAGCCGTTTCTTATGAGCTTAAAGCTCATGTTCCTCAGACTGTGATGTGTACTGTAAAAAAAAATTACTGTGAAACGCATCAGCTCAGATAATGAAAATATTTGCATTGCGTCTGAATTGTTCTCGTGACATTTGTGCCTGTGCTCTTATTGTAGGCCGAACCCCAGACCTGAGCCAGGACGTCCTGGACAAGTTCACTGAGTTTTCTGTGGAGCAAGGCATTCTGCCTGAGAACATCGCCATCCTGCCTAAAAATGGTAAAACACTGTTAAAAACACTCTTATAAACACTAAATATGAATGTATCCAGGCCTGACGTGAACATCTTTTCTCTCTAGACGAGTGCCCTTGATGTGCTGATGTGAAGCTCTCTGAATCCTGACTGATTTATTATGACTGTAGTGAATCATTTAAAGTGCCTCTAATGTTTTACACTCTCAGTATCAGTCCTTTTACCTTCTTAAAGTTCTTTCCATCATTTCTTCTTTCTTCATGAGATTGGACCAATAAAATCTTTTGTGAATCTCTGTCATGAGGTGTTGTGATTTTGTTTTATGTATTTAACCTTAAACCTGAAAATGACGTTTCCAACTTAAATTGTTGTAAACATAGAATGCTTTGGAGCATTTGGTTTCTTTTTAAAGACATTTGGCAGATTATTGTAGAAGTGAAAAGTTATAAAAGTGAAACTGAAAAAAAAAAAGTTATGGAAGTTTGTTTATAAAAAAACATAAAATGTAAAAACGTAGGTCTCCATAAAATGAGTTTCAAGCATGTATGCACCAGGGATGCTATAGGTGACTAAAAATAAAACCATAAAAAACTTGAAATAAACTTTAACGGGGGAAAAAAACTTATTTTATTTCAGGTAGTTGCCAAGGCTTAATCTAAAACAAATAAAAATGAAACAGATATAGTAAAAACTAGTTTATAAAAATGAATAAAACAATTTTTTTTAAATATATATTTTAAAACTATAGTTAAAAACTGTAGTTATTATAGTTAACTAAAACTAAAACCATAAAACTGAAATAAAGTGTGTGTGTGTGTGTATATATATCATATTACTAATCAAAAATTAAGTTTTGACATATTTACAGTAGGAAATTTACTACATATCTTCATGGAACATGATCTTTACTTAATATCCTAATGATTTTTGGCATAAAAGAAAAATCTGTAATTTTGACCCATACAGTGTATTGTTGGCTATTGCTACAAATATACCCGTGCTATTATGACTGGTTTTGTGCTCCAGGGTCCCAAATAAAACTCATACTGCACGTTGTGGATACTGATGTGAGATAAAATTGGCTTGATGTTCAATAAGGTCATTAAAAAATGTTGATTGGCATACTGAATCTAATATAGTGTACGTAAAGAGTTCATATGGCTGAATCTCAAAAAAAAAAAAGACACATGCTCAGGTAAAATTTCACCCCAAAACCTAAAGAAATACAAATGATTAATTATATTTTGAACCTATTTAGACCATTAAGTTTTGCATTGCAACACTGACACTTTTTTTGATTATTATTTATGTATTTTTAATTTATTTTACACAACAGTAGTGATAATTTTAATACAAATCATTGTATTGCAGTAAATATTTTTATACTACAGTAATGAAAACGAATACACTGAAAATAAACTGGTGTAGAAACAATTTTCACTATTTGTGAAATTGCTAGTAAATTTCACAAATATTTACGTAGAATGAGCAGGTAACACATTGAGTTAAATGTGAAACACTGAAGTATCAAGATGATAATACAATGGAAATAATATTTTTTAAAGATGTAAATAAAACAAAGATTGCAGTATGCGTTGCAAGAAAATACTATTCAAGTCTTCTTCAAAATTTCACATTTATTTCAGTGTTACTTACGGTTTCATTGTAATGAATTGTACAATTTAATGAGTGAAAATTGTTTCTACACAATTTTTTTCAGGTGCTATTTTTAGTTCCAATAATTCCTATTCATTTTCCAATGGTTATTTACATCCCTGTGACATAATTGTTTAAAAAATATTTACTGCAATACAATGATTTGTATTCAAACTAGCATAAAAGTAAGGAAACATTTAGTTTTTCTCGTGATTTGGGGGTTAAATTTGACCCAGACATGCTCTTTAAATGAGATTTATTTCATTCACATCTCTGTGGTCCCATACATCCAAGTGAAATGCATTTAGGTCATCTTACAACATAAGAAAACATTACGTTTGCATGATTAAAATCTTTCTTAAAATTACACAGACTAAAGGGGTTATCTGGTCTCATAGACCCAAAACACCAGAGATACTTTAAAATAACTCTGTTCATGAGGTGCATGGACTTGATCCAGAATAGTTCACCATAAAATAAAAAAATTTAAAATAAATTCTTCATGTAGTCTCAAAAGTTTACCTTTATCCTCTTCTATGGGTCATAAAAAGATATGTTGAATGTCCAAGAATATGTTTCTCATACAATGAAAGCATTTGTTGAAGCACCAAAAAGGACAAAAAACACCATAAAATTAGTCTATACAACTTTTTTACGTTATATATTCCAAGTCTACACACTTCTGAGGAACCGAGCAAAAGTTAATTCACATGAAAGCTTGATTGTTAGCAAAAACTGACATTTCATATGGGCTCAGAAGACTACGAATACATTTTTTGAGTTCTGTTCATGAGGTGCATGGACTTGATCCAGAATAGTTCACCATAAAATAAAAAAATTTAAAATAAATTCTTCATGTAGTCTCAAAAGTTTACCTTTATCCTCTTCTATGGGTCATAAAAAGATATGTTGAATGTCCAAGAATATGTTTCTCATACAATGAAAGCATTTGTTGAAGCACCAAAAAGGACAAAAAACACCATAAAATTAGTCTATACAACTTTTTTACGTTATATATTCCAAGTCTACACACTTCTGAGGCTTGATTGTTAGCAAAAACTGACATTTCATATGGGCTCAGAAGACTACGAATACATTTTTTGAGAGTAAATGGCTTTTTGGCTTTCATGGTGAACTATTCCTTTCAAACATATTGGTCATTACGGATGATGCTGCATCTGTTTTTCCCTGATCGTCTTCATCAGATCAGATCATATGCTCTTTTTGCGATCATTAAAGGTTTGAGAGACCAGATATTCCCTATAACCTCGTCCTGATCACACAGACGTTGCAAAATAAGGCAATGTCCTCAGTGCCAATGGAAAACAGATGGTATCTTTCCGACGTGTTTTTGAACATTACAAACATTTCAAACAGCTATCAATCAGACTTGCTAGTAAAGTGCAAGACTGAGTGAGATATCCATCACATTGTCCTATTTTCATAAAGCATTTCAGAGAGGATATGTTGGCTACTCAATGACAGACTGAACACAATACTCTAAAATGCTTCAGGAATATGCACCTGATACCAGAGGCCAACAGGTAAGTTTCATCTGTTAAGATACAAAACCAAACTGAAAAGCATTGGAAAAAAACATAAAACAGCTTTAGTTAAAGGAACAGTCCAGCCAAAATGAAGTGTCATTATTTACTCACCCTCCTGTTGTATGCTGTTATTAATTTCTACAGAGAAGGGGAAGATTTTCAGTGAATAATAACATAAATTTGGGTCTGTCCTCACATAAATAGATCATGTGACTTCAGAAGATCTGGAATATAGTCCACAAGTAGTATTTTAATATTTATATAATACATTATTGTAACGATAATATTAGAATACTTTTATAACAAGAAAATAAATTTTTAAAATTAGAATTTTTTTTAATGAATACCTATTATGTTCCTTGGCATAAAGTAAGTCATGCAGGTTTTAAACAACATGAGAAAGAGTAAATTATTTTCAATGATTTTACATTTTAGGGTGAACTGTTCCTTTAAAGGGATAGTCCACCCAAAAATTAAAATTCTGTCATTTACTTGTTTCAAACCACTTTGACTTTCTTTCATTTGTGGAACACAAAAGAAGATATTTTGAAGAATGTTGGTAACTAAACAGTTCCATTCCCATTGACTTCCATTGTATGGACAAAAAAGACAATGGAAGTCAATGGGAACCGAAACTCTTTGGCTCCCCACATTTATTCAAATGATCTCTTTTGTGTCACAATGGAAGTCAATGGGACCCAAAAAACAAAAACCGTTTAGTTCCAAACATTCTTCCACAGAAGAAAGCCATAGTGTTTCGATTGGAACCCAAAAAATATATATTTTGAAGACTGTTGGTAACTAAACCGTTTTGGTTCCCATTGACTTCCACTGGAAGTAACTAAACCGTTTTGGTTCCCATTGACTTCCATTGTAACACAAAAGAAGATATTTTGTAGAATGCTGGGAAATAAACATATTTGGTTCCCATTGATTTCCATTATAAGGACAAAAGATGCAATGGAAATCAATGGGAACTAAATATGTTTATTTCCCAGCCTTCTACAAAATATATTTTTTTGCGTTACAATGGAAGTCAATGGGAACCAAAACAGTTTATTTGCTTCCAAAGGAAGTCAATGGGAACCAAAACGGTTTAGTTACCAACAGTCTTCAAAATATCTTCTTTTTGGGTTCCAATGGAAGTTGATGGGAATCAAAATGGTATAGAACATTCTTTTGTGTTCCACACAAGAAAGAAAGTCATACGTTTTGGTTCCCATTGACTTCCATTGTATGGACAAAAACAAACAAACAATGGAAGTCAACTGAAACCAAAACTGTTTAGTTCCCAACATTCTACAAAATGTATTCTTTTAAGTTCCACACATTAAAGAAAGTCATACAGTTTCGGTTCCCATTGTCTTCCACTGTATTTTTTGTCTAAATGATGAAAGTCAATGGGAACCAAAACGGTTTGCTTGCTAACTTTCTTCAGCAGAAAAAAAGAAATGCACACAGGTTTGACGACGACATGAAGATGAATAAACAAAGACAGAAATTTCATTTTAGGCTGAACTGTTCCTTTAAGACTGCAGACCATGTGATCATAAGAAATGTGAAAGCACTTCCAGTCTATGCCACTAAACACTTTCAACAATTTTCTCTCGCATACAGACACAACACACACAACTGCTATGCATGAGGGGGTCTTGGTAAGAAGCCCAATACAGAGGTTGCCAACATGAGGGATGGGGATCTCGAATCACTGGCTGTTTAGTGTGTTTACGGAAGTGAGTGGAGAAAGAGGAGGTGCTCATTCTGCCGGCACAATGTCTTTATGGTGCCTCATAATGTGCTGGTTTTTCTCCGAAGGTCTCCGGAAGCCCTTTGAACAGTACTGACAGCGGTGAGGATAGTCCTTAGTATGGATGGAAATAACGTGTCTTTTGAAGCCAGATGCATCTCCCGTGCTGTAGTCGCAATACTGACACTGATACACCCTCCTTTCTCGCGAACCCTTCGCACCACCGGCTTTCTTTACAGCGGGCACTGCTAACTGCGCTGCACCTATAGTCCTCTTGGGGGTAGGCTTTTCTGTGGGCGGGGCTTGCGGTGGCGACGCCTGTGTGGGCGGAGTTGGCGACTGCGCCGGCTGTTGCTGCTGTTCCTTAGTGTGAACAGATAAGATATGGCGGCTGAGAACGAACGGGTCTGCGATCTTGAAGTTGCAGTGGCGGCACTGGTGCAGTTTCTTGGCTTTATGCAACGCCGAGTGTTTCTTAAGCTCGGACGGCCGGTGAAAGCCTTTCTCGCAGACGGCGCATTTATGTGGGTAGTCTTTAGTGTGCACGGAAATGACATGCCGTTTAAGGTCGCTGGAGTTGGAGCTGCGATGGTCGCAGTGACTGCACTGGTGTCCCCGAGAGTCCTCGTGTGTGGCCGCATGCTGCGTCAGCTCATCCTCCTCACTGAAGGTTTGGCCGCAGCGCTCGCAGCAGAATGGCAGCTCGCGGCTATGCTTCGTCTTCATGTGCGTCTTCAGGTTGGACGAGTCGGCCGATTTGTAATCGCAGTACATGCACGAGTACGGCTTCTCGCCGGTGTGCGTGCGCATGTGTTTCTTAAGCTCCGACGGATGGCGGAAACCTTTGCCGCATTCCACACAAATGTGCGGGAAGCTCTTACTGTGCACGGCCAGCAGGTGGCGATTGAGCAGCCCTTGCTCGGCAGTCTCGTAATCGCAAAACTTGCATTTGTGCGTCTTGGTCGCGGCGGCGGGAGAAGGTGGCGACGCGATGGCCGTGGGCGATTTTTGTTCCTGGTGGTGGTGCTGGAGACGGTGCGAGAACAGTGCCGCCTGCTGGTGGAACTCCTTACCGCAGGTCTCGCATTCGAACAGCACTTTGTTACTAAGCGCGTGCACCTCCATGTGGTTGTGCAGACTGGCTTTTTTGTTGGTGGTGAAGTCGCAGTCCGTGCACTGGTACTTTTTGCGACTCAACAAGTCCTGGTGGTGGTTGCGAGTGTGGCGCTTGAGGAACCCACGGGATTTGAATTTCTTACCGCACAGCATGCAGGGGTAGACGGTCAGAGGCTGTCCATACGGACCGATGATGATCGCTGATGAGAAATGAGAGAAGACCGAAAAGGACAGTGAGAGGATAAAATAGAACCAGTTTTGAAACCAATAGCCGATACAATACATATGTATGGAGATAGAATTGTTGCATAATTTCAAACAAATAGAATGAGATCCACAAATAAATCTTAGAGTTTCACAAACACGAATTAAATTCACAAATAAATAAAATGAGATTTGCAAATAAAAAACAAATACATCACAAATATATTTTTTAGGGCAGTCAAAATGAACGAGTTAACACAAATTCATTTTAACGGCACTAATTTTATTAACGCAGCGTGCATTTTCTGTTTGACCTGTGGCCTAGCCCATAGTTGGAGAAATGGAGATGCACAGTGTTGCCAACTTGGCGACTTTGCAGACCCCTTTAGCGATTTTTTTCTCTCTCAAAAAAGCGCCTAGCGACAAATCTTAAGGGTTTGCCCAAATCTTAGGCCTATTTAGTTTCTGAGATTTGCCAGTACTCCCGCGCGAGGGCGAGGTCTTGCTTTCCCAGCGCGCGCACACACCTCTTTCTCTCTCTGTGTGTCTGCATTGTTCAGCGAGTGGCTGAGAGGAGCAACGCGCTATCAGTTAAAACAGATATTATGTTGCTTCTCTAATTTTAAGTATAGCCAAAATCACAGCACATCTATTGTCTTTATCTTATGTGTATTTGATTTCATCAGACGATGGCTCAATTATCAGGATTTTTGTGCAGATTAACATCTTGTAAGGGAGAGCTGGTTATGTAGTCTTAATGGGTCTCTATTTCATATTCATTCTGTTGTCTGACAACAGAAATAGTAAAATATATCAATGAAAACAGTTCTATTGATAATTTAGCTGCATCAAAATACAGTATGTGGGCACAGAGAGGCAAACAAATGTAATAATAAATAATATACATTTTGCATGTTCAGAAGAAGTGAGCTTCCTTGTGCTGCAAATAATGTAAACAGGCTTGTGTAAGTAAATTGCTCAGTGCAAAGAAAGAGAAGTAATGGGAACCTGGTATTTCTATGTTCTTTTTTCATGTGTCTAATAGACACGAACAAGTTCTTTGAAAAACATTTATGACCTTTGAAACATGTCTAGTCTTCATGCTCTATGTTGAGTATGGTTTCACAAATAATAAACATACATTAGCATAAAGCATCCATATTTGTCCACGCCCATGCTGATTAGAGTTTTAAAAATGTGAAAAGTATTCA